AGCAGGCCAGCCTCCTTGGTACCTCGTTTCTGGATGAAGACCCTGAGCAGGGGATTTGCACTGGAGACCGCCTTGCAGAAGTTGTCATCGTTGTTGATGGGCAGGAGGTCGCCGTGCACATCTGCGTAGCCGATGGTGACGTCGCTGCTGGAGATGCGGTGGGTGTGCACAACCAGCTTGTAGAAATCCTCGAACTTCCCAGGCTTGTGACGGTCCAAAGAGAACCTTCGGAATTCCGCCCCAAACTAAAACGCAAGAGACCAGAGTCAATAAACACCAGAAAGAGAGAGCCAGAAATAAGGTGTGAGTTCACTTAATGAACAAGTGTTTGCTGAACTCCAGGAGGCCCTGGGGACACAGTGACAGTGTCTCTGTTTTCACGCAGGCAACAGTGAGCAAACGAGAAATTTCACTGAGGAAGAGGAACCTTAAGGAATTAAAAATTGTAGTGACCGCAGTACAGCTCCTTCATCCACACTGACCCAGGAAGCTCCCTCATGTACGTCCTGAGGACAGGACAGGCCAGGCCAGGCCAGGCCACGGTGCACGGGTCGTAGGAAAACCAATGTCAAAATCAATATAAACATGCCGGGTAGCATGAAACAAGAGTCCAAGTTCACGGGCGTAGAAAACTCAGAGGCAAGAGAGGGCCTGATGAAACCTCCGGACTTTTTCCTGAGGGCAAGGGAAAGCCCTTAAGGGTTTTAATTTTAAGTTAGGAAGTGTCTTGATTTTATCTGTATTTTAATAGGATCAAATGGTTACATTTCAAAAGAATCAGAAACGGAAGTAAAACTCGAAGCATGAAGGACCCTGGTAACACACTGTGCTCCACGAAGCCACAGGACACAAGAGGGTGGGTTCTGGGACTTGCGCGATGACAGAGAGGGTCTCCCGTCAAAAGATAGCATTGACACCCCCCTTTGGATCTGTAATTAGGTGGCCTGACTTGGGAGATGCCTGAGGGCCAGCCTCTTTCCCAGCAGCCCCTGGCCTGGCCCGACGCCCACGCAGCAGCCTCCCGGGCTCCGGGCCGCCTGTCAGGAGAGGCCCCGGGGTTTGGGCTTAGGACGCTGGCCCCTTCACCTGGCGACAGGGACCGCTGTTCACCAGGTGGTGCAGACTCTGTGCTCTTCGACGTAGCTGAAAACTGAGTATGTCGGATGGAACACATAGGCAGTCCCTGGGTGACAGATGGGTACATTCCTGAGAACGTCTGCAGGTCAGATGTGTATGCAGCTCGGATCCCTGGTGACCACATGTGGCAGTAACGATGACAGTAACACCACTGAGATGGCTCATATGTGGTAATCATGGCACAGTGCAACACTGTGACATCAATAATGACATCCCTGAACTGCAACAGTAAGTTACAGAGACTATTGTGCTTTTTAATTCAAACAAACGCAAAAACAAACTCATACAAAAGGTTGAGACAGGAGATAGGAGAAAATTCAAAAAAGAATATTAGTTATTAAGTATGAAATGTCCAATGTCCTTAAGTACCAAGTTAGACAGTTGGTATCTCTGATATTTCACTTTGACACTTCTTGTTTTATGTTTATTGTGAAGGTGCATCCTCAGTGTTTCAAATATATGGTTTGGCTTGTCATTATTCTTCTAACTTTTTTTAGAGCAATTTTTGTGAAAACATGGATAAGTCAAAAATTCGTGTTATTTTCGAATACGAGCTCTGTTGTAGAACCAGTGCAGCGCAGATGGCTGAAAATATCAACGAAGTGTTTGGGAAGGATGTGGCTAATGAACGCACAGCACGTCGATGGTCTGAGAAGTTCCATTCTGGTGATTTTCATCTTCAAAATGGGCCACATGGGTGACCTGAGACCCAGGTGGATAATGATGAGCTGAAAGCTGTAGTGGAAGCGGACCCATCCCCCCTTGCATGAACTAGCAGCAAGGTTTGACGTTACTATTCCAACAATATTGGACCATTTGAAACACAAGGGCAAGGTAGGGAAGCTGGATAGATGGATTCTGCGTGAATTAAACAGGAGTCAGAAGAGAAATCGTCTCGAAGCTTGCCTTTCTTTGCCGTCACGACGTAAAAGCAAACTATTTCTACACTGTATTGTTATGTGTGGTGAAAAATGGGTTCTTTTTGACAATCGCAAGCATTCGGCACAATGGTTGGATAAAGATGAAGTGCCGAAACACAGTCCAAAGCCAAATATTCATCAAAAAAGCTGACGGTGTGTGTTTGGTGGTCCAGCGCTGGTATTATCCACTATGGCTTTGTGAAACCTGGTCTATAGATTCCAGCGGATGTCCACTGCAACCACTTGGACGAAAAGATAAGGATACTTGTGATTAAACAGCCGAGACTGGTCAATAGAGACAGGCCAATCCTCTTGCAAGACAACTCTCCACGTGTCGCACAAAACGCTGCTCAAACTACAGAGGCTGGACTTGGAAACTCTCTGTCATTCACCGTATTCACCAGACCTTGCACCAAGTGACTACCACTTCCTCCAGGCTTTGACCACTTCTTGCAGGGAAAAATATTCAATTCTCAACAAGCTGCGGAAAACACCTTTTGTGATTTCATCTCCACTTGCTCTCCAGGCTTCTTCGCTGCTGGCATGAATGAGCTACTGTTAACACAGGAAAACTGTGTCGATAGTTTAGGCGCATACTTTGATTAACTGTACTGCTTCCTGTTTGAGATACAATAACTACACTTTTGATTCGAAATCAGACATTTCATATTTAATGATCTAATGATATTAAAGGTTAACATTCACCTAATGTTCTATCAATGCTACGCTAATAGGAATGTTACGCTTGTTTTGATCTTCTAACGAAATCAATAATAACCTTTCCGTTTCAGTAAGGAACCCCCTGTGCTGCTCAGTGAGGACCGGCGCTCTCGCTGGCTGGCTGCCTGGCACACGTTCCCGTATTCTCGCTTTACCTTTACAGCTGTCCCGACAGTCAGCGACTATCGTGCACGGTGGCGTCCGGCCTTCTCCAAACGCTTAATTATTTCTACTTTCGTTCCTACCGTCGTCACCTTTGTCTTCGCTGCAGGCTTGGTCATCAGGGCAAACACAGACTCGCAAAATCAAATTTAGAAGTTAAGATGAAAGCGGTGCCGTGCGTGAGCAACTGCGTAAGCAGAGACCAGGTGCTACTGCAGAGATGCTGTGCCGGTGAGCTGATGACGCTGTGTGGTTTGTTTACACGCACGGAAGAAAGCAGTTCCCAAATTATTAATTCAATTATTTAATTACAAATTATCCTATCAGGAGCTTTGGGAGCCCGTTCATAAGTTCAGAATGGCGTTAAGTCGGGTCGTCAGTAATCGGGGACGGCCTGTATGGAACAATTAAGTGTCTAATGTTTACACAAAACTAGTCACTATATCATCTGGATTGGAGAACACTGTCAATAAGTCAGGAGCAAATCATCTAAAATCATACGTGTTTGCAGCAGAATCACCTGGAGGGTCATCGAGGGCTGTTCTGGGGTGTGGCGCAGGAATCTGCATTTCTGACAAGTTCCCAGAAGAAGCTGATGCCATTGCTCTGAGGACCACACAGAGAACCTCTGGTTTTAAGGGAATCGGCTGCCAGACCTGACACTTGGCAGATTCTCTTAATGAAAATGACTTGCCTGAGAACGAATCTCCTTCCCCAGCTCCCTTTCAAAAAGCACTTCCCCAGGTTACCAAAAGCAAAACAAACCTCTCGCCCCCCCTGCATAGCCTCCAGGAATAAAAAAACCTCCAGGGCACACGGCAATGGGACAGTTCAAAACACTGGTTTGGGAAAAGCCACATTCAATAATTAATCAAAACTCCTCAAGCTGTTTTCCAAATACGCAGTAAAGAAAGAAGCCAGATCCCAGAAACCGTGTCTGGCCGAAGTCACACCTCTGAGTGCAGCTGTGCCCAAAAGGGGTGGAGGCAGGAGCTCCCCCGCACCCCTCTATTGTCAGAGGGTCCGCTGCGGACCTGACAATTTCTTCTCAGCATTTGCCCCAGGGATCTACCACCAGCCGGCCTGGCGTGTGGGCAATACAGATTCTTTCGTGCACAGGGCCTGCAAGACTTTAAGACAGAAGACATCACGCCCTCAACATGTTTTATGTAGTTTCTTTCAGAGTCACTATCCAATCAAATCACAGAGCATTTATCTCACTAACAATCAACCTCTTGTTCCCATCCCATATGGCTAATACATGCTAATGTCCAAAGCAATTGTTTCTTTTTTATCAGTATACAGCTTTCTTTCCACTAAATACGTAAAAGGCTTTAACCATGTATAATGAAATTGGTAAGAGTGTTCCTTTTACATATCATTCTTGTTTGAGGACACCCCCTTCCCCCTTCAGGACACCGGCATCACCTTCGCCCAGGGCAGGCCCACCCCGCTCATCCTCACTTCCCGCGAGACTTAGCACAGTGCTCCCTACAGTTTGAAGGCTGACAAACAGCACATGCTAAATCCTAGTTCTACAATGTTTAAAGCTTAACTGCGTTTAGCAACTAATCTAAGATGAATCTTAATTCCCAGTACATTGAATAATAGTACGTTCTCAAAATATGTCTTAACATGTTAATTTGAAATGAACAATGAATTCAGACTTTTTCCTGAGAGAAAACAAGTCTTATTTGTGTTTGATAATGAGGCTGGCTTTGCCAGATATGTGGTGAACGTGCTTCATACACTATGTGAACTAAAATAAAATCTTACGGCTCACCTGCCACCGCCACTGCCACCGGCTGACTGAATGGACCCCCTCTTGGCCAAGAGGATATCCCCAAACTAAACTGTCTGCTAGGAGGAGGGAGGTCAGACATGCCTCATCATGCCCCCTTTTCTTGGAGACACCTTAGTAACCCAGTAACAGGCCTAAGGGTATGCAAGACAAACCTGCAGGTCCTCAGTTTACACAACAAACAAACATTCCAAGACTTTACACAAAGCTTCATGTCTTTAACCAATTATAAGTCAAAGAATCTTTAAACCCACCTATAACCTGTAAGCCTCCCCGACTTCGAGATGGCCCATCTTTTGGGGCCAAACCAATGTATGCCTCCCACGTATTGATTTATGACTTTTCCTGTAGCCCCTGAAATGTATAAAGCTGTGACCCAGCCACACCAAGTCCACTTGTTCAAGGCTTTGTGGGCGTGGCTCCAGGTCATGGTCCTCAAATTTGGCTCAGAATAAATCTCTTTAAAATTATTTTACAGGTTTTGGCTTTTTTTCTGTTAACAGTA